CCTTTCAATATTCAGTATTAATCTCTTTGTAGCTCCATCAGAAACTGTATCACTTATGGTAATGAGGCAAATATTGTAAACAAAGATTCTCCTATACTCCCAAAGGTAAATACATGTATTGTTACTATGAGGTTTCTGATAGTAAATTAAACAACCAATATGAATTAAATTTTAGGTTTGATTGACAATCTGTTGTGGAAGGTACAGGGGGAACAAACTGTCTCCACCGCCTGCCCATAAGCTGCAGTGCCAGCAGTAGCCCCGCCACTACATGTATCTCCTGTAGCAATTCCACTTCCCATTGTGGCAACTCTATAGCCTGTGGAGAGATCAGTCACTCAAGAACACCAGCATGAGCCACAGACTCCATTTACAGTGCGATCATTAATATCCAAGGATGAGTAGCCAGAGAATGCAGAGTCCCCAGATGGTGGAATTACTAAAACGTAAGTGTTAAAAAACCTTCACAAATTTAAGGAATCAAAGATTGAAACCAATCCAATTCAAACTGTCATATACTGGTTTACACTCGGCTACTTAGATCTTTTTTAGGTCGACTGCTGGTCATGGTTTTCAAATCACTAATTATGGCTGGCAGTCCGATACCTTTGACAAATTTAGGGAATCGAATGGACCTATCGTAACCATGAGCTTGTGACAACGACAATTTAATTTTCATTTAAGTAAGTTTCAAATTTATATTTATTTAACGGTAGAAACTACAGCTTTTAAAGCACAAAGCAAGAATCCATTATCACAGATTTTTCATGCTAAAGGCGGATTTTTCATTTTGTAAAGTACAGATTTTTCATTTCACAAAGTACATATTTTTCTTTTCACGAAGTAAAGATTTTTTCATTTCACAATGTACAGATATCATTTCATTTCATTTCATAAAGTACCCTTTTGCAAAGCACAATAAGCTGTTTTGATTCACCTGTAGCCTAGATCTTCACACCCCAAACTTCCTTGTTACTTTACCGGTGGATCCATAAATCAGCAACCTTCAAGTTCACTCTTAGTCCAGAGAAAAACAGTATGGTTACGTAATAGAACTGGATTATTCACAGATGTCGTGTGACTTTCATATATTCTCCATGAAACAAATTGTCAGGGCACACATTCAAATAATGGCTGTATTAACTGGTTTACTCCAAGTGCAGCTATCAGTTGAGGGCGGCGTCTCTCAAGTTGTGGATTTTGTTGTCCATGATTGTGGCACTTACATGTACATTGTATTTCAGGGTGGCACCTCAAGAGAGAGGTTATCTATTAACTAAAGGTAATTCCTTAGTATTGCTTTGTGCATCCCTACTACACACGACTTTCGCGTCATTAGCGCATGCACATGAGTGAGTGTGTGTACAAAGTGTAAGAGATTTCCTTCAAACTAAGCTCGATAGCAAAATAAATGCTCCTTTCCTCTTAAAAGAGCACAGTGACCCCCACTTTTTATTTCACAATTTCAATGAGAACAATATCCTCAGTAACTGAGAAAATATTAGCAGAAAGCTACACTGTATGGCTACTTTTTTGGCAAATGAAATAAATACTACAGAGGGAGACATAACAGGCCCAAGAGTGCATGTCCAAATTATGTTTCCTTTAAAGGATTTAAAAAATGCAGGGTATTTGAAGACATTTTTTCTGGGACATAGATGAATAAACAATCAAAGAAAGTCAAACTCTGTGTGATATAACTGTGACACTGCATTGAAAAATAATCAGCTTATTAAATTTTGTTGTGCACAGAGATTACCAGAAGTCACATAAATAACCATATTTGTCAGCATTGTGGCATGACAAGAAGCATGGTGACCCCCTGTTTTTATTATGTTTTTAATATCTCCTTGTCCTGTAACAACAACATACCAAGTTTCATCGGAAATCTATGACGGGTTCTTTTGCTAAGGAATCACCTTAAGTTCAGTACAGTGAGTTATACCATCAGATGCATATTAAAAGCTTACTATGACTGCTATCTGGTGAGGTTGAAACTCACTTTGATATTAAATTCACTTGTTCCACTATTCTTTACACTTGTATCTTGTAAGGCCCTCTTCAAATTCTTCAAAATCAGCAAGGAGGATGAAGTGACACAGAGAAAGCATCAGTGCCAAACAGAATAAGTCACAAATTCTGCGACACCAGAAAACTGCTGTCACATCTGTCAAACGACTCAGCCAGCAAAGGACTCGGAAAGAAATGAGGCAAGTCACATCTCCATAAATAAGTCTACATACTGTCATGAGTATTGTCACTACCTTTAGTTAATGATTGCTTCCAGCTAGTGGCACCAGCTTTTCTGTCCTTCAAAATACAGAGTTGCTAAGCACCTAACTAACCCATCAATCCATCATGGTTGTGCAGCTGTAATGGCGCTGCTGACTACACTTTCTTTTCCACACTCTGTTGCAACTTCGCAATTAGGTTTCAGGGCAGGAATGCACTGTTGCCAACTCCTCTTGATCTTGCTGTTCAGTCATAGAGCCTTCCTCTCTAGAACGAAAGTGAAAGTGAACTAATGCTCTGCAACCATTTTGGTTACTCCAAAGTACTACGTCACAACAAAACAAATGACTGAGTTTTCCATGCCAACTTCTATCTGAGCATGTCATCCAATTTTATCTCCAGCAGTGTGTGTGAGTGTCTCGATGGGAGTGCTTGTCTTTAAGTTGAGGTTAAGGGCTTTCTTCAAGAGTTATCTGAGTGTTTCTTGTAATGTTTCGATCACATTGATGAGAGCCAATATCGATAGATAATGAGCAGACACCAGAAAGCCTCAGTGCCACTGGTTGCAAACATGATTAAACTTGGACTGTGCATGTGAGTGCTTAACCCACTGGGGGAACTCCCATATTAAACAGAGAGGGATCAGCTTGTCATACCTTTTAGGGGTAAAAAGGCATTTTTGGTACCTCTTAGTGTATTCAGCTTCAAAAGGTTCACAGGGGGAGCTGCCCAAAAAATATGAAGGAGACAATTAATTGACAATCAACTTTACAAGAGGAAGGTACATGTATTACATGTAGATGCAATCCTCTTTATCGTTATCAAGAGACCATGTTCATGGTCTCTTGTCTCTATTAAAAATTATGAAAGTGTGAGCTTATTAATGAGTGTTAGAATTGGTACCTCCTTATATTAGGGGTGAAAAAAAATTATTCAAGCTATGCCTACAAAACAAGATTTTTGTACCCCTTAGGGGTTCTTTTCAAAATTAATATCAAGCACCCCTGTTCTTTTTATAGGGTCATTCCACAGTATTCCGTCTGTTGCGGAGGGGAAATTTAGAGGTACATGTATGCTCTTGTAATAGTTTAAATAGGAATTTGTCCCTTACTTCTGGTAACCTACATGTATTGAGGTTTATGGTCATCAAGAAAGCTTTATTTGCTGCTGTCTTGCTTTTCTCCAAAATACATTTCTTCAAAAGATGACCGTTGCAGAGGGGAACAGAAAATTTGGTGTTTTACATGATTTTAGTTTCATTATAAGATTCTCTGAATTCTGAAATATTAGCTAGAGTCTAATAGGCTGGTGCTTTCTCTCAATTTATATTTGTTAAAAAGATCACAAGAGGAAACTCAAATAGTGTAGTGTTTTCTCAATAAGATAGGATAACACTGACTTTACATCCCAGAAAGAGGGGTGGTCAGTTGGTGCTTAGCAAAGGTTAGGGAGCCCTCTCCCCGGATTAGAGTCTCAAGTCTTTCATCTAGTACCAATTTTGAACCTACATGACACACGCTTCATCTGTTTTTCTATATATTTTTCTATAACTCAACACTGGTTCAACTCTGTTCACCATGTAACGACTGACAGTGGTCACCAATCACATGTAGATCAGATAATATTTATGTTTGCTACCATCTGTTGAAATAAACTACTTCTTCCCCCGAATCAGTGATGAACTTGCACGAAAACCAACACACACCAATTATGTTTTTTTTTTTTTTAACAAGGAAGAGTATTCATTTTTCATTTAAAACCAAGATTGTAATTTCAAAATAATGTGAGTGAATGTTAAGGTCTTGTGCTCAGCATGTCACTGTATTTTTGTTTTGTTTTGTTTTGTTTTTTTGGTTTGTTTTTTTTCCCCTCTGTAACATTAAGCACGTGGACGTTCTTAATCTATTGACACTGGTTTAAATGTTCAGGTGTTATTGTGTAGATGCCTTTAAGTTTTAGAGTGTTAGTTCTATTCTGGTCACGTAACTGTTCAAATGTGGCCATTGTACGAAACTTTTGCAAAAAGCTTATCCTTAGTAGGTCTGGTTTTCAAAATGTGATAGGTAAAAACCTTCCTTAGGGACCGTTCATTTTTTATGAGGGAGGGGGGGG